TGTGAACTTTTTTTTTTCCCAATAATACAAATAATGAAACCAAGAAAAGCACATAAAGAAGAGTTGTTTTACATGATCTTAAAGGGAGTGGGGGTGGCTTTCTGAATACAGCACAGGTCCAAAGTCATAAAAGAAGACAGATAAGTTTGACAGAATAAAAAAATGTACGTCAAAAGACAAATGACATTGCAACAACAGTAAGAACCAAAAAATAAGTGTGTGGTTACACAGGTAGTTATGTAGGCCTATGCATGTATAGGTAATCACATATGAATATATGGATATGCATGTATATGTGTTTCTGTAGGGAAATGTATATACAGGTTGTGTGTGCTGCATATATAAAACCAAAAATAAAACAAACTCACTGCCATCGAGTCAATTCCAACTCAAAGTGACCCCCTTTGGGATTCCATGGTAAATCTTTGTGGAAGTAGACTGCCCAGTCTTCCTTCCATGGAGTAGCTGGGGGGTTTGAACCACTAGCCTTCTGGTTAGCAGTCAAATGCCTTAGGCACTACATCACCAGATCTACTTGCTGCATATACAGTCATGTATAAATAAAACACGTGGGGGGCACAGTTATGGATGTCCCCTAGACATAACCAGAGACCTCACAAGATTGAGTTACAGGGTTTGAGAGCTTAGTCCCATAATCTTTGGGGGTAACTCGGTCATTTGGCACAACATAGCTCATAAAGATAATGTTCTACATGCTAGTTTGGTGAGCAGCATCTGGGGTCTTAAAAATTTGCGTCCATTATTGGTCTCTAGCTCTGGTGGTGTAGTGCCTGAAGCATTTGATAGCTAACCAGAAGGCTAACAGTTCAAACTCCCCAGCCACTCCTCAGAAGGAAGATTAGGAAACCTACTTCCGTAGAGATACCACCTTGGAAACCCAACGAGGAGTTGCTATGAGTCGAATCAATTCGACATCACTAAGTTTGGTTTTTGGTTTGGTGTATGTCTAGAGCAAAAGAAAAAGAAAGAAACGAAAGATGAAACTAGTCTACAGGACTAATAGTGTATAAAAAACTGTCTCCCCTATCTTGAAACCAGAAGAACTAGATGGTACCCACCTACCACTACTCACTGTTCCAACCAGGGACACAGTAGATGGTCCCGGGTAGACTGGGAAGAAATTGTAAAACAAAAAACAGACTTACTGGATTGGTAGAGATGACTAGAACCTCTGAGACTATCATTCTGGGATATCCTTTAAATGGGACCTCAAATTACTCCCATAGGTCACCTATCAGCCAAAAGACCAAGTGGCTCATAAAATAAATAATATCACCTGTGAGTACTGTGCTCCTCTAAACAATCATCTAAGTGAGACCTAATGGTCAACATTCACCCTAGACCAAAGATGAAAATGTACAGAGGGATAAGGAAGCTAGATTAATGGAAACAGAACAACCAGAATGGAAATAATAGGAATGCTGACACATTGGGAAAAGCATAATCAAGGTCACTGAATAACATGTATAGAAATTGTTGAACAAGAACCTAATTTGCTATGTAAATTTTCTCCAAAATCACATAAATTTAAAAAAAAAAAAAATCATCACCCCCTTTCCCAGTTTACCACAAAGATGTGTTAAACATTTTTTTGCAAAGAATAGAAAGGAGATCTTGAAGTCTGGAGTCCAACTCGAATAGTCCCTGGGTGGTGTAAATGGCCCAAAGATTGGTGGATCTAACCCACCCAGAAAAGCCTTGGAAGGCAGGCTTGGCAATGTGCTTTTGAAAGGTCATAGCCTTGAAAACGCTATAGAACAGTTCTACTGTGCACATATGGGGTTCACCATGAGTTGGAATCGACCTAACAACTAACAATAACATACCAAAATTATAGAGTTACAGAATTGTACCTGCTCTATTCTAGCCCACTACTACTATGACTGACATTTATTCTGACACACTTGAATTGCAGTGTTGGAGAAGAATACTGAATAGACTGTGGACTGCCAGAACAATGAACAAATCTGTCTTGGAGGAAGTACAGCCAGAATGCTCCTTAGATAGGAGGACAGCAAGACTTCATCTTGCTTACTTTGGACACATCATCAGGAAAGACCAATCGCTAGAAAAGAACATCATATTTGGTAAAGTAGAGGGTCAGTAAAAATGAGGGAAACCTTCCATGAGATAGTTTACACAATGGCTGCAACAATGAGTCAAACATGCCACAGATTGTGAGGATGGTGCATCGTTTCCTTCCATTACATATAAGGTTGTAATGAGTCAGAGACAACTTAATGACAACCAACAACAACAACAAATTTCAGGCACTGTGCTAACTATATGCTGCCTGTGCAGAAATTTATTTAATCCTCACAGCAATCCTATAACCCAAGAGGCAGCATCTGTCTTTCTATCTATAATGTATACAAAGCTGTCTGAAATGATTTTCACCCAAACAATCATGGCAAGACTTAATTTTTGTTTTCTTTTCTCTTTGTACTTTACTCTTTGTTAACAATTTGTTTTAGGATGAACATGCTACTATTTTTACAAAATCAAGAATGATTTTTCTGAAAAAGACCAAATGCAAATGCAAAGCTGTCAAGATGTTAACAGTGGGTAATCCTGGGTAGTGAGAACATAGATGACTTTATTTTCTTCTTTGTACATTTCTGAGTGTTTAGTTTCCATGAGTAAAAGAAAATATCATCTTAAAAAAAAAAAGAAAGAGAAAAATGACAAACTTTATTTCACTAACTAAAACCAAACCAAACTCAGTGCCCTCGAGTCAATTCTGACTCACAGTGAACCACGTTGGATTTCCAAGGCAGTAAATCTTGACAGAAGTAGATTGCCTCATCTTCCTTCCACAGAGCAGCTGGTGGGTTTGAACTGCCAACCTTCTTGTTAGCAGTCAAAAGCCTTGGGCACTGTGCCACCAGAGCTCTTTTTATTTCACTAGACAAGGTAAAAGAATTCCATCAATAATTGGCCCCAATCAATTGCCATTAAGTCAATTCCGACTCATGGTGACCTCAAGTGTGCAGAGTAGAACTGTGTTCCACAGGGTCTTCAATGGTTGATTTTTTGGAAATAGACCACCAGGCCTTCCTTCTGAGGCACCACTGGGTAGGTTCAAACTGCCAAGCTTTTGGTTAGTAGTCAAGTGCTTAACCATTTGCGCCACCCAGGTACTAAAACTTGCCCTAACCCTTATTAATTAAGACAAAGGAATAAATATGTGACATTAGAAATAAGCCATTATTTCTAATGTAATTCTTAGAGAAAACAAGGCAGTAAGAATTAGACTCAAGTCTGACGACAAGTGGTAAAAATCCTTAGAAAAAGACTGAAACCTATTCACAGAGTGCAGCTGCACACATCCTGCCTATTCAGATGAGAATTTAAGAGCTTACTGTACTCCTCGGTTTCTCCTTGAATAAGTGAGGTTTTGTACCATGCAGCATCTAAGTCATGGCCCTAGCAGAATTACTATCATTACCTCTTTAACCAAGTGAGAGTCACTATTTATCACATCCATAATGAAGAGGCAGCAGCCCTAATCCCAAAAAATACTTAACTCCAGAACCAAAAAACAATAATAGCTGATAGAAGGATAGGCATTTGTTTCCATTACTTCTTTCTATGAGCATTACATTCAGATTAAACTGGCCTTTTGCTTTACAAAAAAAAAAAGTCAGCTATTGGGTGCTCATATCCCTGGCAGTGGTTAAGTGCTCAGCTTCTAACCAACAGGTCTGTGGTTTGAACCTGTTTCTGCAAGAGAAAGATATGGCAGTCTGCTTCTGTAAAGATTACAGCCTTGGAAACCCTATGCAGCAGTTCCATTCTGTCCTATAGGGTCATTCTGAGTAGGAATCAAGCCAATGGCAATGGAATGGGTAAATTAGGGATGATTAGGATATTCTCTTTCTTATTCTTAATCCTATCAACCAACCTGGGCTAACTGAAACAACTAGGATAAAAATAAAATAACCTTATATTTTCATTCATCCATTCATTGATTGAAACTAAATTCACTCAAGGGAGTCTTATGAAAGTATAAAGAGCTGAGCACTATTTTGTCCTCACCTACTTTCCACAATTTACATTCTCACCGTTAGCATTATTCTTCAGAGTTAAACTATCTGTAAAGGGGCACTGTGAACAATAAAATTGTCTCATCTGGGAGAAATGTTAACCCTTTAGTACATATAAAAATCCCCTAGACCTTTAGTAATAACATATGTGCACAGATTTCATCAGATTATCTGAGATTATAATATCGAAAAAGTAGTTTTGACAGAGATGGCGTGGGGCAGGGATGAAAGAGAGAGTTGCTAGAGTAAGAAATACTAAGCACAAACTTTACCTTAATTTCACAAACGTGCTTCCATCATTAAATCACTAAAATCATTGTCTTAAGTTATCTAGCGCTGTTATAACAGAAATACCACAAGGGGGTGGCTTTAACAAACAATTTTATTTTCTCACAATTTAGGGGGCTAGAAGTCCAAATTCAGGGTGCTAGCTCTCAGGGAAGGCTTCCTCTGTCAGCTCTGTAGGAAGATCCTTGTCTCTTTTGGGTTCTTCTCCCAGAAGATGTTCATGTGGTTTGGTATCTGTTCCTTTCTCTGCTTACTTGCTTGTCCTAATCTGCTCTTTTTATATCTTTTAAGAGAATGCCTCAAAACACACCCTATACTAATACTGTTCATTAACCTAACAAGGAAAACTCATTCCCAAATGGGTTTATAACTACAGACATTGAGGTTAGGATTTACAACATATATTCCGGGGGAACACAATTCAATGCATAACATTAACATAATTATCAAAATAGTCTCAAACACAGTCAGCAGTAAAGTATCAATCCCTGGGGGGCAGCATTAATCTTACTTCTAATACCATATCCAGGAAGGTTCAGCATTCATTAAATATATCCTCACGGTTGTCCCAATACCCAATGGCCAGCTCCTCCTTTTAAAGGAGCTGTAAGGCAGATCTGAAGGTCAGGACAGAGTGACCATCCGTCAAAGTCTGTCTTTCTTACAGACCCATTGTAAAAGAACTTCACAGCTAGAAGCTTGGAGACCATCTTTGTTGATGGCCCCACACGTCTGTACCAAGCTGTTGGAAATAATCCTGTAAGAAATCAGAAAAGTTAGTGACCTCCAGAGTAAAGGAGATGAAAGGCATGACAAGAAATAAAACTTATCTCCTTATTCAGGCCCACAAGTACCTCAATAGCCAAAACAGCAGATGAATAATGGCTCATTAGCCTCTCTTTAAAATGTTATCTTTACCAGGGATGGGATGGAAGGGGAGGGAACACTGCTAGATAGGTAGAGACAAGTATAGAAGGGGAAGGCAATATAGCAAAAGCAAATGATCAACACAATAACAGTAAAGAAAAAGAAGACAGAGAGAGGTGCACAAGAGGTACAGACAACAAAGATAACCCTTTCACGTATACAATACTGCGTTGTCAGTGATAATTTACTAATCTATGGGTAAACAGATGGATAGACAGGCTAAATGATCAGGTGTGTCGAGGTAAAAAGGACTATACCCATGACCATATATAAGGTTAGCAGATGATATTTCTATATCTTATTTGTATGTGCTCTAAGAATGCCCATATATATAACAGAGCTAACAAGCGGCAAAGTGATGATAACTTCTTAGCCACAATCGACCACCCTGAAGGAGTGAGGAGTTGGACCTGTGGGCTTGGGACCATGGTCACAGGGGACATCAAGCTCAATTGGCATAGCATACAACACAAGAACACTGTTCTACATCCCACTTTGGTGAGTAGTGACTGGGATCTTAAAAGCTTTTGAGCAGCCATCTAGATGCAACATGGGTCTCTCCTCATCCAGAGCACAGAATAATAAAGAAAACCAAAGATGCATGGAAACAATTAGTCCAATGGACTAGTGGATCATGTGAACTTCAGCCTATATGACCATGAGACCAGAAGAACTACATGGTGCCCAGCTACCATTGTTAACCACTCGTAGGGTGATCTATGTAGGAGATCCTGGATAGAGTAGGAGAACAATGTAGAACAAAACTCAAAATCACTTGGGGAAAAAAAAAAAAAAAAAAGGGACCATGTTTGCTGATCTGATGGAGCCTGATGGACCCATTGAGACTATGACCCCTAGCTGTCCTTCAGGTCTGGAACTGAACCCACATCAAATAAAAGAGAGCCATATGAGGGGAACATTTATACTAGGCAGATACACTCCTTGGGGAGAAAAATCATGGGAAAATAGAAGGGCTGTTTATGCACAGGGAGACAGCTCAGGGGGCAGGAGTGCATGGAGGGATGGACACAGGGAAGAGGTAACTATGGGGAGGAAGTAGGAGGGGAGCTGTTGCATTGTGGTAAATTGTAGTCAATGTCATGAGACAAAGTATATGTGAACTGCTGTATGGAAAATGAATTTGCTCTGTAAACTTTCACCCAAATCACAATAAAAATTTTTAAAAAATAAAAATAAAATGTTACCTTTTTTTCCCCTTAATCTGCTGTTCATTCCCTTCCTTGATCCCTGTTCCCTATCTTTCTCTCCTTTCCTCTGCTTTCCATCTGTTATCCTTGATCTATTTCCCCATCACATGATTTTTCTTTCTCTTTTCTTCTCTTTTTTTTTCACACTCTTTTTGAGCCCCTTACCTTGAGAAGTTTAGGGTCGATCCATCTTCCCACCTCCAACCAGCACTGTTCCTCAGACCAACCCAGTAAAAATTATTACTGAGGAAATGTTTGAGGAGGCTCTAAGGGAGAGATTGAAGATGATGAAAATAAGATGAAATGCAGAAAACCAAAGGTGAGACCTAGTGTCACAGTCAAACAATTATTCCTTACACCCCTCCTCATCACCTCCCACTCCAAATAACTAATCCCTCTTAATTTCTAATTCTAGAGATTTGTTGACTGCTGAGTGGAGCTACTTCCTAGAATTGAATTTAAGGTCTGTAATTGCATTCTTTTAACTTGGTAGATAATATTACATTCTACCCACCATCACAACTTCCTCCACAATTAGATTGAGCACCTGATAGGTATTCAAATAACTTCAAAAGAAATATATGAAATATTGCTTAGGCAGCAGTCATCTTTCTCATTATCATTGAATGGCATAAATTATGATTAAGCCTGAGGCAATATATTCCCCCCCCAACTAAACTCCCATTTTCCAATTCCTAAGAAATCTTGTACATGACAAGGAAAAAAAAAGGGTGGGGGGGCAGTTCTGAAGAGAACAAGTTGAAAACAACGTTGTATATACCCTTTATATGTCTCATGTTTATATATGCAGAAGAGAGATAAAAGATTGTTTGCATTATAAGGTCTATATCTACAGGAAGACCTTATATCTTAAGGGAATTACCTTTGCAAATGAAACTTTCTGCGTTTTTGTATTTCCCCTGTTGAGTACTGAAATATGTATGTTGAGGGTAGGGAGGTAGATGGAAGACTTGAGGAAGGGTAAAGCAGATGAAACGACATTCCAGCTATTCAGGATAGCTTGAAATGTTTCATGTATTTCTTAACCAACTTGCTTATAAGGATTACGTAAATTAAGAAAAAATTCACGTTTCCTCATTTCTCCACTGGAATCATAAGCAGAACAGTCTACTTCCTTTTCCCCCTCATTTCACGTGGGAAAAAATGGCTGCTCATAAAGCACAGAAATAGATAAAGATTTGTTCAGAAACCTCAGACAGAGTCTGAAGACCTGCTATTAGATAAGATGCATTTACAAACCCAAACCCTGCCCTCACTACTCTCAAGACCCATACTATTTTGTCATTTGATCAGTCCAGTTTACTGCTTCCCACTGGCAAGGCTGGATATTGGAAATTTCTATCGTATCAGTTTTACTTAAAAAGCTTCTGCTATGTTTATTCACTTCTTTTTGTTCTGGTTTATCCCTAACATATAAAATAGTATTTGGCACATTTATTTGGTTAATTCCTGGGGTGAAAGGGACAGAGAGTTAGCTAAAGAATTCCTCCTACCACCTCCCATATGGACTAGGCCTTTAGAACCAGAGTGCCATTACCCATGTTCTGTACATGTGTGTATGTATGAGTTACTTACAAATAACTGTACAAATAGCAATAAGAGTATAAGCAAGGGTGTTACCTCATAAGTCTTGTGTACCAAAGGAGGTGTGAACTAGAGTACTTGAGGTATTAAGAAACGTTAGAGCAGTTTGGTTGCATTTTTAGAGAGAAAAACAAGATCTAAAAGTACGGTAAAGACAGAACCAAACAAATGAAATCAGGTACATATTTTCTTTCTTCTTCTTTTTTTTCAGGTCAATATATATCTTACACACACACATACACACATGCTTTGCAAGTAATTTTTTAAATTGTAATTATTATTAAGACACAGAACAAAATTAGCTTATAAACTTAGCTTGGTTTATGGGCTGTATCTGTTATTTCAATCCATATAGAGAAAAATTAATAATACATCAAAGCTACTTAACTGATCATATGTTTTGATTGGCTAAGATGATTTTAGGGGCTATATGCTAAGAAATTGCCATCTACCTAGAATAATTCATTTAAATATGGTCACTTTATGTTGTTGTTGTTATGTGCCATCGAGTCGGACCTGACTCATAGCAACCCCTCCTTGGGTTTCTGAGGCAGTATCATTATGGAAGTAGATTGCCCGACCTTCCTTCTGAGGAATGGCTGGTGGGTTTGAACTGCCAGCCTTCTGGTTAGCAGTCAAGTGCCTTAGGCACTATGCTACCAGAGCTCCTAAATATGATCATAGCTATATAATAATTAGAAATAAGCAAAAATTTTTCTAAGAATATGAAAATAATTAAGCAGTAATGAAATAATAAAGAATTTTTAAACATAAATAGCTGGGATAATTTGATGCTTGGAAAAAAAAGGAGTAAGTTATATGATAAAAGTACATAAAATATAGGGTATCAAAGTCTAGGTATGTAGAATAAACATATTTTTAAAAAATATGTCTGTTATATTTTTATATAATACCATTAATATCTGATCTTCACCTCCAGACACCTTTTCAGATGAAGTATTTAAAACAATAGGTGTAATTATTCATCTGAAAAAGGAACAATTTAAGGTACCTGTAAACTCTAAAAACTTAGGGGGAAAGAGTAGGAACACTTTGGAGAAGAAGTTTTTAAAAATTTACTTTTTTGGATTAACAACTGAATCCATTGCCTTAAATTTAGAGGTGTTTTACCTGAGGTTGAAAACAAACACATTGAGCATTTTACTTGAAAATGTTACTGCAGACTGTTTTAAAATAAGTTTAGCCTATGTCTCCAGATGTTTCACATATCCTGCAGTGTGTACACATTGATTATTATCATATAAAAACACAGACCCATTAAGAAATTTGGAAGTAAAATGTCTCTACAGATTGCTTGAGTTTAATACTGTTTAAAATGTTCCCTACAGTTTTGAATAAGTATAAAAACTAAAAGTAAATAAGCCTTGCTCAAGAAACCAGCATTTGCTTCTCTTTAAAAGATAGAGTGAGATATCGTAGCTTGCCACACCTTGGTGTGAAGTTCATCCTAGCTACTTGGCCTAATTATGAAGGAAGGGTGACAAAAAGGTGATGTGTTACTAGACTACAAATGGTAAAATAATTCTATGTACCCTGCATTCCAATCATTTCTTTCAATTTTCTGACACACCCCCTCAGATTTCCTCATCAAGGGAACACCCAATTCAAGAAATCGTAATTTACTTAGTGATACATATTTTCTGAAATTTCATGTCTTGGGAGACAGAAGAGCAAAACAAAAGTTATTTTGACTTGGGCCTTTGTTTTGAGCAATGAGGAAATTTCATGCAAATGGAAGAGAAGAAAAACTAAAGTTAAGTGACTCTTACTATGTGAAAGAAGGATTCATATAGATTTTATCACTTATAGTTCTGGAAAGTTTTATCTCCACTTTACGTATGAGAAAATTGAGAGTCAAAGAGGTTGAGAAAATTACTGAAGGTCACACAGCTATTAAGTACCACAGTGTAATAAATACAGACTCATGACTGACAGAAACCAATCTCTTTCCATTACCTGATTCCACTGGAAAATGTGGGGAAAAGTGACCATGTTACCATGATATTTGCAGTGGAGTATCCAAAGAAGGAAACCTTGGCTCTACTTAGATGTAAACTCTAAATACAAGAAAAGCCAATTTTAACAAGTTTAGGGAAGACATACAGACCAGTGGAACAGAACTGAGAACCCAAAAATAGATTCACAGACCTATCAAGCATAACCTAAAATGTCAAGCATAACCTAAAATGCACAAACAGCTGAAGATAAACTAGATGATGGGATCTTCTAAAAATTAAGTTTTTATGTGTTTCAAAAGACTTCTCCAAAAGAATAAAAACAGAACCTACAGATTGGGAAAATGTATTTGGCAATGACATATCTGACAAGGGACTTATCTCTAAAATTTATAGAAAACTCTAACACCTCAACAACAAAAAGATTAACAATCCAATTAAAAAATGGGCAGAAGACATGAATAGACACTTCACCAAAGAGGACATTCAGGTGACCAGCAAATACATGAAGAAATGCTCAGGATCATTAGCCATCAGAGAGATGCAAATCAAAACAATAATGAGATACTATCTCACCCAAGCACTAGGGACAAAGTTCAACAAGACAGAAAATAACAAATGCTGGTGAGGGTGTGGAGAGATTGGGACTCTCATGAACTCATTGCTGGTGGGGCTGTCAAATGATACAACCAATGTAGAAAGCAGTATTGTGATTCCTTAAAAAGCTGGAATTAGAAATACCATTTGGCCCAGCAATCCCATTACTAGGTATATATCCTAAAGAAGTGAGAGCCAGGACCAGAACAGATATAGGCACACCCATGTTCATTGCAGCACTATTTACAATAGCAAAAATATGGAAACAACCTTCATGCCCACAACAGAAGAATGGATAACCAAACTGTGATACATACACACAGTGAAATACTATGCAACACTAAAGAATAATGTAGAATCTACAAAACACTGCATAACATGGATGAATTTGGAAGATATTATGCTGAGTGAAATAAGTCAATCCCAGAAGGACAAATATAGTATTAGTTCATTACTGTAAAAAGTTAAGGAAAGGTTTATATATAGAAGGAAACCTTTGTCGGTTACCAGGGTGGGAGAGAAGGGGAGGGAACGCTGCCCCCCCCCCAAAAAAAAGCATTGAGTCATGTCACTTTAGTTTTGTGTATTTCACTGTACATAAATTATATTTCAATAAAATGTATTTTTTAAAAAAACAGTAGAAATAAAAAAGTTCAGGAGAAAATAAGGGTATTCCAAGGTCAAAGACTAAAATAGGGAAGGTGGTTAAAAGGGAATGAGAGGCTGTCAACCAATAAACTCTGACAATATAATCTTAAAGTGTGGTAATGAGGATGAAAGATGTACAGTGTTATGGATTGAACTGTGTCCCCAGAAAATATGTGTTGCAAATCCTAACCTCTATTATCTGTGGTTATAATCCCATTTTAGAATGGATCTTCTCTGTTACCTGAAAGAGATAAGATTAGTGTAGGGTATGTCTTAAATCAATCTCTTTTCAGATGTAAAAGAGATTAAACAAGAATGCCAGAGAAACCAAGGGATGCCAAGCCACATGAAGACTGCCCAGGAGCAGAAGCTCAAAGAGACAAGGAGCTTCCTCCAGAGCCAACAGAGACAGGAAGCCTTCCCCTAGAGCCAGTGCCCTGAATTTGAACCTCTAGCCTCTTAACTGAGAAAATAAGTTTCCATTCGTTAAAGCCATCCACTTGTGGTATTTCTGTTGTAGCAGCACTAGATAGCTAAGATAAGGGGTAAGGAGATTTAAAAAAAACCAAGTTGTTCCACAGAGACCTTTAGTAAACCTATCTTTTAAAATAACACACCAACAACTATAAGAAAAATGAGCACTAACACTCAAAATGAACAGAGCCTTGTAAAAAGTTGACAAGAAAACCAGAGGGTTTGAATATGTCTAAGGGCATATTCAAAAAGCTAGAACAAAGGTATTTAAAAAAAAAAAAAAAACTCATTGCCATCAAGCCGGATCTGACTCATAGTGACCCCTCCTTGGGTTTCCGAGGCAGTATCACTACGGAAGTAGATTGCCCAATCTTCCTTCCGAGGAGTGGCTGGTGGACTTGAACCACCAGCCTTCTGGTTAGCAGTCAAATGCCCTAGACACTACTCTACCAGAAAACTGAAGAAATAACAGAACAATTCCATTTCAGTTTTGTTTTTATTTTTTCTATCAAGAATCATCTTCAAGTTGAAGACAGAAAAGGAAATAACAAGTGAACATCTTGCAGTTTAAATACATCTAATGTCAAGGACAACATCATGTACATTTCAAATTTTAAATTCAAATGATTTTTTAAACATGCATAGAATAGAAAAGACATCAGAAGACAATTCATAGGAAAAACTTCTCTTGATTTTCAACATGCACAAGATGGATTCTGGAAAGTGTCAAATACTAGGACTTCAGAGTGGCTCATTCTGGTTCAGCCCCCTGCTGACAAATTGCATTTCCACCCTAGATATACAAAATCTACATTTTAACAAGATCCCCCAGGTGATTCTTGTTAAAATGTAAATTCTGATTCAGTATATCTGGAGTGGAAATGCAAATCAGCAGGAAGTCTAGCTGGAATTAATTGGTTCAAAGTTCTATTAAATACAATGTAAGTGTCTTTGAAGGTTAAAAAAAAACCTCACTGCCGTCAGGCCAGATCCGACTCCTAGTGACCCCTCCTCGGTTTCCGAGGCAGTATCACTACAAAAGTAAATTGATTGCCTACGCTTTCTTCCAAGGAGTGGCTGGTGGGTTTGAACCTCCAGCCTTCTGGTTAGCAGTCAAATGCCTTAGGCACTACACCACCAGAGCTCCCTCTTTGGAGGTGGAGTTTTAAAATCTGGCCCTGCCACTAAAAAGACATGTAGCCTTAGGCATGTTCATTAACTCATCTGAATTTTATTTACTCATCATTGAAATCAGGATTGTGAACTCTCCTTTGTAAAACAGCTGTGAAGATTAATAATAAAAGGTTAGCTGGTCTGATAGAGCCTGGTGGAACCACTGAGACTATGGCCCCTAGTCAAACAAAAGACAGGCATATGAGCTGAACATTAACATTAGGTAAATACACTCCTTGGAGAGAACAATAGGAGAATAGAAGGGCTGTGTATGCAAAGGGAGACAGCTGAGGTGGCAGGAGTGCATGGGAGGAAAAGACACAGGGAAGAGCTAACTATGGGGAGGAAACAGGAGGGGAGTTGTTGCATTGTGGAAAATTGCAGTCAATGTCAATAGACAAAGTATATGTGAGCTGCTATATGAAAAATGAATTTGTTCTGTAAACTTTCACCCAAATCATAATAAAAAATTTTTTTAAAAAAAAGAGTAGTGACAGCATCCAGAAAAACGAAGGAAAGACAGGAAGGAAAAATATCCCCCTAATATACATCTCTTCCTCTGGTCAGCTTAAAATCCATTGCCAATGAGTCAATTCCAACTCATAATGACCCTATAGGACAGAGTAGACCTGCCCCATAGTGTTTCCAAGGCTGTAAATCTTTATGAAAGCAGACTGCCTCATCTTTCTCTCACGGAGTGGGTGGTGGGTTCAGAACGACCAACCTTTTGGTTAGCAGCCCAATGCCTCAACCACTACACCACCAGAATCCCTCCTGGGGACCTTTGAGAAACAGAAATATTCCCAGCACCCATATATTCTGTGCCTTCTTTCTCTTCTAGATGTATCTCTCATTATCACACTGTGCTATTTACACTAGCTACTGCACCACAATTTTCTGCAGCAGTGTTTTGTACTATGACTCACTGCTATGGTTTATCAGTATCTGCCTAACAATGTTTTTCCACCTCTGTCTTCACTTCTGCTACTGCATTCAGCCAGCTCTAGACCCCAGAAACAGCAGTATTAGAATGAGAGTAGCAGTTGCTGCAACAAGGCCCAGAAAGCAAGTCTATTATGACCCAGAAAAAAAAAAAAAAAAAAAAAGCCAAACCCATTGCCGAGGAGTCAAATTCTGACTCAGCGACCCTATACCAGACGCCATAAAAGTCTAAATTTTCACATGCCTACTAAATAAACCTCAGTGCATTATTTTTTCTGTAAATCTTTTTTTATTTTTAACCTTTTATTGTGATTTGGGTGCAAATTTACAAAGAGATTCATTTTACACTCAACGGTGCATGTACATTTTGTTTCGCGACAGTGATTGCAATCCTCACAATTTAACAGCTCTCTTCTCACCTCCTCTCTGTGGTTACCCATCCCCTGTGTCCTTCTTACCTAAGGTTCCTGCTTGCCTAGCTTTCTCCCTGTGCAAATGCTGCCCTTCTGATCTCCCCTGTTGACTATTCTAAGGAATGCATCTCCCTGGTGTAGTTGTTCAGCTCCTAGGCCTATCTATTGCTTGCTGAGAGTTGAGCCACAGGAGTGAGTTCAATTTTAGGCCCAAAGGGTGACTCGAGGCCATATAAATCTCAACATATTCTAGCTTAAGGAAGATATAAAGGAAAAGTAAATCACAGAGGTGGGCCAATATGGAGTTTAAATTCTATCTACCTATATCATTTCAAAAGAATGAGTATTCCTTTGACATAAAGCAAGAATCTAGATGCTTTAATCTTTTATTAAATTAGGAAGCTATAAAATTTGGGAAGGAACTCTGGTAGCATAGTGCCTAAGGCACTTGACTGCTAACCAGAAAGCTGGTGGTTCAAACCCACCAGCCACTCCTAGGAAGGAAGGCTGGACAATCTACTTCTGTAGTAATACTGCCTCGGCAACCCAAGGAGGGGTCACTATGAGTCGGGGCTGACTCAACAGCACATAACAACAACAACACAAAATTTGGGGACTTTATGATCTACACAACTGTTTTGGAGTATCTCCCTGGATTCCCCCAAGTGATGTTAATATAATTGAATTCCTCATAAACTGTTCTTCATGACTTGATTCTATCCAAAACAGAAAACAAAAAGCAGTATCAAAATACAAAAATCAGTATGGCACTAAAACCCAAACTAGAACTTCTTATTTTATTTGTATATGTGATTTATGGTGACAAGTTAGAATGTGATTAGTTTTTATACTGGGTTACCTCAGGATATCAATTACTTTATGTTACCTGAAGATGCTCTAGGACTAATGGCAAGTGCTCCTTCAAGAGACTGCTGGGTGGACGAGAAGGCTCTAAGAGGCATATAGGAAGTAAAGCCCCACCAGCTCCATGGAATTTACAATCACATACATATATATACACACAGAGAGAGGAAAAAAAAAACACACACACACACACACACACACACAATGTCCTTCCTTCTCCTTTCCCAATTTTATATAACTGCCCCCACACTGTCTCCTAGCCTGTAACTTACTGGATTCTAATGAAGGAAAAATAAACTGAGGGGGGGTCGTATTTAAGCCCCAATTGGTCTGTTTTGGACCTGATGCTTCTTTTCATTAGATCAGTATTTCAGGTCTAATTCCTCTCCGTAATACTCACTATCCTCTCACCTCCAACACACACTTACATACATGTATTCAAACATCTGAGTTTCTATAACTGGTGGTTGTTGGGGCAGAAAGGAAAGGGTTAGCAGTAAGAGAGGAGAGGGAAGAAGGCAGGTGTAAAAGGAGGAGGAAAGAAGGGAAAGAAAGAGAAGAGAGGGAGAGGAGCTGAAAAGCAAAGCATATAGCCTCCCTAACAAATCACAGATTCCTTTTGCTCCATAAAATTAGGGGGTACACAATGTATTTTGAAAATCATTCGCCAACAAACCAATCTATGTGTTCTAAATATTTGTACTTACCATTTCCTGATTATCCTTAAGCATAAGGAGATATGCGTCTTTGGCTAAGCAGAATTGCAGACTAGAATTCCAGTCCTCTTTCTCTACCGAGAAGTAGTAACAATGGTCACCAAACCTCACCCAGAGGTCTGGGCAGCTTGAACAATTGGCACAATTGGAGTAGGTAGAACCTAGAAAGGAAGAGGACCTGGTTCACACTGATTCACACCTTTCTGGACCACTCAGTCTTGGGAATTCAATGGAAGGTGAAACGGAATATGGCAGTTGTAGTGTCATCCTTGCCCCACCACCTTTTGAATTTAGGTTTAAAGAAATCAACAACAATGTATAGTCTCAAATTGAACAGTTCAAAATGTCCAATTCCATTACTACTATTATAATTATACCAAGCAAGGAAGGATTGTAACTAAAGGAGCAGGGAAGGGAATGTGGCACGATTTGGCTGAGGACTGTGCAGAGAGAACATTATTCATGCTAGAGATCTTTATGAACATGTGATGTGTGCATATCAGTCAAAATAAATAATTGTGTGGATGCATGATACGTATTAGTGTAGCCTCTGTATATACTCACTGCATAAATGAACGGCATAATGTAGTACTGCACAAATCAGGCAAATTCTTTCAGAATGCCCAACTTCAACATGATTCCTCAGGATGATATTTAAGAACAGAAAAGAAACGAGAAGAAGCTACCTTAACTAAAATGAAAAGTTTCCCATTTTCATTATCACAGATGCAATTGTCTATTACCATTGGAGACTGGATAAAAGATTTACATTTCCCCAAAAGAATTTACTTTTGATATTTTGTAAAAAGCCTTTCTGATGGACAAGGGTATTAGACGCCAAAGTGCAAAGTGACAAAATTCTCACTGAACTCTTAAAGACAGACAGATTCTCATTTCTTTAAAATGGTTTCATTATACTTTTATCAAAATGAAAAGGAATGGAATAAGCATTCAAGGTAATTTCAACCAGGATTCCATAATTCTATGGATTTTTTCATTCTAAAGAAATACATCTGCATACACTCACCATAAGCACAACTCCATAGTGGGCATGTATGAGCCATTGTACAGTGAAACCCTTGAGAGCCAGAACTCAACAGGACTGCCTTGTTTTTCCAGGTCTTGCAAGTTTTCCATCTTTGATAGGTGTTTACCACTTTGCTATCACTCTCTATTAAGAATCCTACCTCATAAGCATAGTGAGTTTTCCTTCTCTGACAGGAACCCACCTTACACAGGTCCCAGCTTTTGCAGGTTTTACTATACAAAGTACATGTGTAGAATATAATGTCAGAATAAATTATAAATTTTTCAAAATTTGAGAGTTGAAAAAGTGGGAAAAGTAGTTCTTTTTATGTAAAGATTGGGCAACTTTTCTACACAAAGGTTTGGTATGGAACCAATACAGAATTCCAGGAACTCAGCTATAAAGTTGGCACCTTGTAAATTTGTGCCTTTCCTGAACAACTATTACCTAACCAATTACTCAGCCTGTATCAGAAATTCCCAACTTCCTCTGGAGTCTCTTTCTGTCAAAGCTAGGACTTAGGTCTGAGGCAGAGGTCCTAAAGCTGAACCAGAACTCTGTTTAACCTGTTACTAACAATAATCCTTAGATAACATTTGTTGTTGTTGTTATGTGCCATCGAGTCAAACCCGACTCATAGCAACCCCTCCTCGGGTTTCCGAGGCAGTATCACTACAGAAGTAGGATTGCCCAACCTTCCTTCCGAGGAGTGGCTGGTGGGTTTGAACCGCCAGCCGTCTGGTTAGCAGGCAAGTGTCTTAGCCACTATGCTACCAGAGCTCCTTTAAATAACATAGACCCAAATTTATGAAACAATAAATTGAGGGTTCTTTCTGAATTTTTAATTCTTCAGAGCCAGAAGAATTAAACCTAGAAAAGTAAGCTTTAGAAAAGGTGAAAACTACCTAAGCAGGGAAAAAAAAATCAAATTATGTTCATTAAATTATGATATATCCATTATGTAAAAAGTTAAACATCATTAATATTACATTTACCTTTATTATCATGATACATATCATACTAATAAAATATTTATAACATAAAATTAAAAAGCAATATATATTTTGATCAGAACCTATACTTAGTCTTCCTTAAAAAAAAAAAAAAGCGGGAGGATTTTAGAAGAATTGATTGCAATTCTGTTAAGAAAACAAATACCTATGCAAATTGTAAAAGTACAGGACGCTACACCCAAAAACAGTAAGTAGCTGTCTAAGAACACACCAAATTGCTATCAAGTCAAATCCAACTCACAGTGGCCCTAAGTGGTGAATTTATTTTGCTTTGATTAATTTTCATTTTTCAAATTTTCTGTTATTATATTGCTTTTATAATACAACATGGAGAAAGTAAAAGATTAAATTTGGTATAAATTAGCACTTACCCTGGCACAAAATCCACTGGTATAGCAATAAACTCAAAAGAGTTATGGTCAGAAGTCCCAAAGCTATTGCCACACAGCAAGAAAGAGAGGGCCTGGAAGAAGACCCTACAAGAACAGAAACCAAAGCAAAATCTTGAGTCAGAAGAGAAGGTGAGGGAAAAGAGAAAGTCAGGGAAGGACAATCTGGGATATGGGAACAATCTGACCCGGTGGAAAATGAGATCCAGATCCTTTCCTGAATCTGTCAGGGACTTGCTCTAAAGTCCAGTGTAACCACTCATGCCTTTTTCAAAGAATATACTATATGTATGAAGTTGAAGTATACTTTTTTCCCTTTTTAATTGTGGCTACACAGTTTCATACTTTCTTTGTGGGAAAATAAATTGGTACAACCTCTTTAGAAGGCAATTTGGCAAAGTTTACCAACGGCCAGAGAAAGACCTGCCTACAGGCATGGCTGAGAAGAGGCTGTCCAGATCAAAGAACTATATATCCTGAGTTATTCCTGATCCTGAATTGTAATTTGTTGCTTCCCTAATAAACCCTGTAACTGTGAGTTCTGTGTGGTCATGGCAAATAATAATCAAACCCAGCAGAGAAGTAGAGAGTCCCTTGAGAGGGATTGCTGGCGTCAGAAATAGTAAAAACGTTGGAGGGTGGAAGCATGTCTGACCCGCCCCCCACACACAGCAATCAACTGTTTGATGCTGATAATGATTCCCCTCCCCACTCCTGTGTAGTTAGACTAGGAGGTCTGAGGCTGCTGCTACACCATTTTTACAGTTGGTGCCTTTTTTTTTTTCTTTTTTTTACAATTACATACATGTCAGAAGTTCTCTGTAAGCTGTTGTCATTGGAAGAGCAATGAGTTTAGGTTAATGTCACATTTAAGGATAGGACACCACTTCATATTAATTTGTACAGCATATAACTTGTATCTAGGAATGTTATTTCTTTTACTTCGAAAATGGAAACATCTTCCCAAACTTTAATTTCAAATTCATACCACAGCCATTGACTCAATTCCAATTCATAGCAACCCTATAGGACAGAATAGATCTGCCCTGTTGGGTTTACAAGTCTGTAAATCTTTATGGAAGCAGACTGCCTCATCCTTCTTCTGTGCAGCAGCTGGTGAGTTTGAATTGCCAACCTTTTGGTTAGGAGCTCAATGCTTTAACCACAGTGCTCCCATAGAACTTTTCTCAAATTCATAGGTGTCTCATAATATAATAGTGTAGGAGTTACAGTGAAAAACAAAATCAATAAAGTAGAATATGTAAGTTCTACTTTTGACTCCTTATTTAGGAACAGTTCATTAGAAAATTAAGAAATAAAGTTTGCGTTTGACTGCTAACCAGAAGACTGTCGGTTCAAATCCATCAGCCATTTTTCCAAAGGAAAATTGGGCAATCTACTAGAGATACTGCCTCAGAAACCCAAGGAGGGGTCGCTATGAGTTGCAAATGACTTGACAGCAGTGAGTTTGGTTTTTGGTTTTTGGAATTGGGCCTCAGGGAGCTTTGGTGGCACAGTGATTAAAGCATTCAACTACTAACTAAAAGGTTGGTAGTTCCAACCCACCAGCCACTCCATGAGAGAAAGATGAGGCAGTCTGTTTCCGTAAAGATTTACAGCCTTAGAAACCCTATGGGGGCAGTTCTACTCTGTCCTATAGGGTCCCTATGAGTCAGAAATGACTCAACAGCAGTGGTAAGAGCAATGGTAGATCAGTGGTAGAATTCTCCCTTTCCATATGAAGACCAGGTTTGATTCCCAGACAATGCACCAGTGGTAGTTCTGTTTGTGTGTCAACTTGCCTGGGCCTGGTTGAGTGGCTGGGCAGCTGGTGGTAGTTATTCCCCATGATGAGCCTGGCATTCAACTCCATGGTGGGATCTACCACAAGCAGCTGAGTAGCTGCCTTTGGGATGTGGTCTGCTTCCTGTATTTAAGGAGAAGCCTTGGGAATGGTCTCTAGCCTAAGGCACGCTTGGACCCTGCATGTAGCTGTGTTGTTGCTCAGCAGCCTGCTATGCTCTGCCGACCTTGGGACTTACAATGGACTTAAGTTAATGGCCTGCCGTGTGGTTTGGTAACATTGGGACTGTGCTTTTTTACTTGTCAACCTTGGGCTTCTCAGCCTCAGCAGCCAGCAGCTGTCTGAGTGAAGAAAGGCCTCTAGCTCCAGTGGACCAGGAGCAGGAGGCAGAGCTGGACCCCAAGGTTGAGGGGCTTTCACCCAGCCCCTAGGGCTTGGCCCTTTGAATTTGGCTTTAAAGCCTCCAAATTGTAAGAATTAACTCCTGTTTGTTAAGACCATCCCATTTGTGGTACATATTCTCGTCAGAGCGGCACTAGGTAACCAGAACAGCACCTTATGTAGCCATCATCTATCTGTCAGCGGAAGCTTGGATTCTGCTATGATGCTGAACAGATCTGAGCAGTGCTTCCAGACTAAGATGGACTAGGAAGAAAAGCCTGGTGATCACCCTACACAAGTCACAAAAGCCCAATATGCAACAGATCATAGTGACAGCACAGGACCAGGCACTGTTTCATTCCATTGTACAAGGAGTTACAGTGTATCAGAGGCCAACTTGATGGCAACTAACCACAATATTTGGGTCTCATTTTCCTATTTAAATTCTAGAAAAATCATCCTGTGATTATGCGTATACATCTATGAAACATTTTAAGCTTCTTAAAAGAAAGAAATTCATAGGGAAAGATGTATTCATAAAGCCCTGATCACTGGCCCATTTAAAAAAAAAAACAAAAAACTAGTAAAAAGGGAATTCTGCATGGTAAATGCTTGGACTGATGAATCCAAAACCAGTAGATTTTAAGTGACATTAAAAATAAAAATGGAACCATTTACACCATAGAGGAATATTTCATGAAATGGACAAAGGTTAACTAGTATACAAAATTAAAAGACAAAAAAAGTATCAAGACATAACGCATTTGTACAATAACCATCATCCAATTCAAGAAATTTAGTAAAATGAAAAATATTTCAATATACTTTGAAAACATGTATATTGAAAGCCTTTTAATAAAGAATATAGTACCAACAGCATAGAAAGAAAAGCAAAAGTACATCAAAATAGCAATAGTGATGAGTACCATGTCATAGAATTATTTGTGATTTTTGTTTTCTTATTTTGCTCTCTCATATTTTCTTCAATGAATATGTAATACTTTTGTGGAAAAAAAAAAAATGTCATTTTTAAAGCTCCTAATCTATTTTCTCATTCCCAAGTACACACCCTGGAAAGCTGGGGTAGGAGGGAACATTATGGCAATAAATGAGAATGTGCAACGTGTACTGTGTGTAGACAAAACACCATGGGACTAGAAATCAAAATAACTATATTCAAGTTCCAACTTATCACCAGTTTTTTGACCTTGAACTTACACTTTAACACATACATTTCTTTTGACTTAGTATTTCCACTCCTCAGAAATTAGCAAGATACAATGCAAAAAAGAAAACATTACACAAATAAAGATGCCGAATGCTGTATTATTCATAAAAAGAGAAATAAATCTAAATTCCCAAGAATACTGAAAAATGATTTAGTAAATTATGGTAGTATTTTCAAAGAACAGCATTAAAAACTGTAATATTAAGACTACGTAGCAATAAGCAAACACACAAATAGAACACAAAATACATACGATTTTTAAAACTGTATAAAATCATATAAGTGTTAAAGTAAATGAGAACATGACACAATGAAAATAACAAGTGGTGGCAGTAATTTTCATTTGTTTTATTGTTCTTTAAATGTTTGTGAAATATTTATCACAAATCTTTACTTGCTTTTAATAAGGCAACGTTCCTAGTTTCAATGTAGTAGCTGAGCAATATAAAAAAAGCAAGTCTTTAACTATTTGACAGATTTTGAAGAGTCAAAAGATTTGTACACAAGATTAAGTAGTATATGAATACCTGCTGTGAGATTTCATTTGGGAAGACCCTCCACCTACTTCCCCAGATAGACTTTTCTATACTAGTACCTGAAAATGCTTTCAGGGAAATTAGTCAATAAATAAGGGAAGATCCACTAAGAAAGAATAAAAGAAAATCAACCACAAATTTCACCACCTTTAATGCTGTCCTACTTTAGTAACTAACTGGGCTTTGTTGTTGCTCCTGTTGTTGGTGGTGGTTTTAATTTCTACAACTAACAATATAATGACCTTGGAAATGAAAGGGATCTGCTAATACATTTCATCTATTCTGTTTTTCCATGATCTACAATTAAGCCTGTATTTATTGTGTTCTTTAAAGGGCTCTTCTTGTTGTTATTGTTATGTGCCGTTGAGTCGGCCCCAACTCATAGCAACCCCTCCTTGGGTTTCCGAGGCAGTATCACTATGGAAGTAGATTGCCCAACTTTCCTTCCAAGGAGTGGCTGGTGGGTTTGAACCACCGGCCTCTGGTTAGCAGTCAAGTGCCTTAGGCACTACGCTACCAAAACTCCCTAAAGGGCTCTAGGAAAGGAAATTATACAACTTTTACATATAACAATGTCAATTTGAACCTAGAGGTACTACACTAAAGAACACAACCTGTAGCAGTGTACTGCCTAAGATATAAAATCAAATATTAACTTTGGCATTTACACCATTATCTCCCTGTCTCGGGTAGTATTTTCTTAGGGCTCTATGTAAAAATGTTTGTCCTCAAATCCCCAAAGAATCGCAAGGACTATTCTCTGTAGCATTGTTGATACCTTTGTCTTCTCCCTGTTGCCAACACTCGTGTGTGTGTGTGTGTGTGTGTGTGTGTTGGGGGGTTATCCTACATAGGTGAGTCAGTCTCTTTCCTTACAAAATCTTACTTTTACCCATTTACAAAAATATTGGTGCTTTTCTCTTTGTTTCATAGTCAGAAAAACAGAGATGCCTAGACTTTGAACAGCTGATCCAAGGTCACTCCAAACATAACTAAAAAGATAAACTTCATCCAACTAAGCTCTTGCTTCAGTTCAGGAGGGAGTAATAAATAATACCATTGCCCTAGCTTCGTTTCCACAGATGAGATCATAGAAGTAGATGGTTGACATCAAAAGGGCAGCATTTGCCCAAGGATAAAGCTTAGAAGGCAAGAAAGCATAGGAAAGAAGGAAACACAGGGACAAAGCAGGAAGAGTGCTGTTACATTTTGGGGATTGCAATCAATGTCACAAAACAAAATGCCTATGAAATGTTGAATGGAAAACCAAAGTGCTCTGTTAACTTTCACTCAAATCACAATAAGAAGTGTTTTTTAAAAGAAGAAGTAAATGGTCAGAAAAACATCTAGCTGAGTTCTAAGATCAGATCCTGGACCCCCTACCAAATTTTCATATTACTATTCTGTATAGACTTCAAACTGAACCCAAAAATGTCCTCAAAGTGCTGTGGATGTTTCTGTACCCTCTACTTCATACTTATTCCACCCCCATTCACCCTTAATCTATTATCACTATGCACAACCTCCCAAACTTACTTTGTTAACTCACCTTTTTGCTGCTGTCTATAGTCATTCTCAACTTGGGTTGCAGTAGGCAACTCTAATAAGGAATAAATGGCCCTGTCAGTTAGCTCCATCTATTATCTTTCACATTCAGTTGAGAGAGTAAAATAATAAAAGTGTGGAGAGATAAGAATCAGTGAGGAAACAGCTCAATCTCTAAACTGTAAGCAGGAAACGTAAAGGTTTATTTGAAAAAAAAAAAGTTGACAACTCTTCAATCCATCATAACAAAAGCAGAAGTAATATTTCAGGAAATGATTCAACTGCTGGACTGCCTATAGGAATTAAAATTCTAAATTGTGATATTTTTGCCCCTACCACTCTATAGATGCTCATTAAATATTTATGAAAATTGATTTCCCATCTCATTTAATCTTGTTAATTAAATAGAGCAAAAATATTTCTCTGAAATCCAGTAATCTTGATTATGGAAAATGCAGTAAGAGTCATTCCTAACTATAAATTTATCACAGATTTTTTACTCTGTTTTGTTTCCTTCTGAGAGAACGGATGCATGCCAAATGGGACTAATTCATTGTCTCTTGGACATTTTGGGTAAATAAGAACTAGAGAAATGGGCTATCCTGCCTTCGAAACCCAAAGAGGGGTCGCTATGAGTCGGATCCAACTCAACGGCTGTGAGAGAGTCTAACTCAAACATTCTGCCAATTGTGTCCTAATCCCTACCCTTCACAGTGTCAAAAATTCTATTAAATTTTCTCTCCTTGTTGGCTTATTTGTATCTGCAATGATAACTATAAAAGGGAACAAATGATAGAAATACATGTAAAGTGTTAATAATTTATTTCTAGTAAATAAAAGGCTAATAAATGTTAAGCAAAAACAGAAAGAGAACTGAAACTCTGAGAACAGATAAGGTCACTAAGACAGAATGTACAGTGATAGAAAAGAAGATAGAGGAGAGAAACAGGGAGTGCACATTAATAAAAACATACAATTCTGCTTCCAGCCATGACAGAATGGTACTGCTGTCCTTCTGCAAAAAACTATACATGCATGGCATAATACACTACATGAAAACATTGCTCTACATCTTTCTTTGATGAGTAGTGACTTAAAAGCTTGCAAGCAGCCATCTAGATGCAACAATGGGTCTCTCCTCATCTAGAGCAAAGGAAAATGAAGAAAAGCAAAGACACCTGGGAACAATTAGTCCAGGGGACTAGTAGACCATGTGATCTTCAGCTTATATGACCATGAGACCAGAAGAACTAGATGGTGCCCAGCTACCACTATCAACCACTTAAAGGGGAATTGGTACAGGAGGAGATCCTGGATAGAGTGGGAGAACAATTTGGAACAAAATTCAAAACCATAGAAAAAAAAAGGTCCAGGTTTGCTGGTCTGATAGAGCCTGGTGAGACCCCTGAAATTTTGGCTACTAGTTACTCTTCAGGGTTGGAAGTGAGCTCACTCACTTCCAGCCAAACAATAGATAGGCATATGGGGTGAACATTTACGTTAGTTAGGTAGATACACTCCTTGGAGCAATCAGATCAATCATGGGAGAACAGAAGGGCAGTGTTCGCACAGGAAGAAAGCTTGGGGGAATGGGAGTGTATGAGAGGGAAGGACACAGGGAAGAGGTAACTACAGGGAGGAAGTGCAAAGAGAGTTGTTACACTGTGGAGGATTGCAGTCAATGTCATGAAACAAATGTGTACAAAGTGCTGTATTGAAAATGAATTTGCTCTGTAAACTTTCACCTAAATCACAAAAAAAAAAAAAAAAGAAAAAATTGGAGAAAAAATAACAATACATGCAAAATACACAAGGCAAGTGTTTGGGGACATAGTACAAAAGGAAGCATTGTGATCCTTGAGAGAAAAGAAACACACATATGTGAGTCCCATGATCACCTGGCTTTCTAGCTGGGGCCACTTTATGGCACAAAGCAAGAAAATTAATTCCAAGCACAGCAACAGTATCACAGAGTACAGGAGGCAGAGATTGGAGTTTTGAGCTGTATAAATGGCTGGGATTTGCAAGATAGAGTAACTGACGAGAAAGCTACACAGCGAGCTGCCCAGAAGATGATGTGGGAACTTCCACAGGTCCTTGGTTAAGACCTAGGCTACACAGGCATAGGAGCTCTGGTAACATAGTGACTAAGGCACTTGACTGCTAATCAGAAGGCTGGCAGTTCAAATCCAAACCCACCAGCCACTCCTCGGAAGGAAGATGGGGCAATCTACTTCCATAGTGATACTGCCTTGGAAACCCAAGGAGGGGTCGCTATGAGTCGGGTCCAACTCGACAGCACATAACAACAACAACAACAACAACACAGGCATAGGATAAGACTCTACAAGAGATGGTGTCCCATAGGGCTGAGAGCTAAATAGTGATACCAGAGTGCTGACTTGCTCTAACAAAGAATAAAACACAGCCTGACAAAACCAGATTCATCAGTAACTTAGCAGTCTACAAGAACAAAATGTGATGCCCTTAAAAGGAAGGCAACATATGAACCTGGGCTTCTTGAAGAACTGGCTAACTCTAGTCCAAGACAGGCAAAATAAAACATGGGCCTGGAACATCTATGCCAGAAAATAAGGAAGTAAACACACATATACACACACAAAACCCACAAAACCACAGGATGGGGGCATGTCAAAGGGTATAGGAAACAACTTGAAAGAGATCCCAATGGTCAAAGTTAGAAGAATTTAAACAATAAAATAAATAACAATAGTACTAAATTATAACCCCAAGAATAATAATTTTTAAAAATCTACAAGTCGATACTGATATAAATAAGGGATAATATAAATAAGTAAATGGAACAAAGGGACAAATGATCCTTACAGAAGATTCTAAATAACAAATGTAGATACTCCCTCCTCAGAAAGTAGAATTTAACTCCCCCTTTCTTTTAGCATGGGCAGGACACAGCAACTCACTTCCAAAGAACAGAGGATAGGTAGAAGGAATAGTAATGTTACAGTGGAGAAACCTGGCAAACACCATTTTTACCAAGTGAACACGACAAATGGCACCAAAAACAAAGAATTGTTGATATTACATACCCATAATTTCTCATGTTTAAACTGGGATTGTGAGTTTTGGGAGGAAATACCATACCGGTTAGGTAAAATAAGAAAGTATTTTTCTCCAAAACCTATAATCCCAGTCAAACATGAGAAAACATCAGATAATTCTAAATTGAGGCATCCATCATCATTATCTCACTGCCATCAGAGTTGGATCCAACTCACAATAGCCCCTTCTTGGGTTTCTGAGGCAGTATCACTATAGAAGTAGATTGCCCAACCTTTCTTTCAAGGAGTGGCTGATGGGTTTGAACCACTAGCCTTCTGGTTAGCAGTCAAATGCCTTAGGCACTACACCACCAGAGTCTGTAAAATATCTGATGAGCATTATTCAAAATTAACAAAATCAAGAAAAACAAGGAAACACCTAGAAACTGTCAGAGAACAGAAAAAATTAAAGAAAAATAACAAGTAAATATATCTTGGATTGGATCCTGGAAAAGAAAAAGAACATTAATGGAGTTAAGGGCAATAGTTTTATTCTTCCACATTTTTCAGGTGTCCTTTGTTACAAATATAAGGAGGTCTGGTGGTACAGTGGTTAAAACATTTGCCTGCTAACCAAAACGTCAGATGTTCAAATCCACCAGCTGCTCTGCAGGAAAAAAGATGAGGCAGTTTGCTTCCCAAAAGATTTACAGCTTTGGAAACCCTATAGGACAGTTCTACTCTCTCCTATAGGGTTACTGTGAGTTGGAATATAGTCAATGGCAATGTATTGTTATGAATATAGTTCTAAAACGTGTTCATATTGTTTTGATTACCCTTACATTATGACCACATCACAATAAATGCTCTGGGGTTGTTTTATTAAAATAAATAAGTAAAGTAACAAAATATAATGCAGATGTTACATAATGTATCACACTTAATATCCATTATACAAAAAAAAATAATAATAATTAGAATTCAAAGAAATAAAAAAATGTGGCACATGGTCCAGATGTAATGAAGTATAGGAGGAGGGAAAAAAAAACATTAAGATGACATAAATGTTGGAATTACTAGCTATGAAAATGTGTTCAAAGACTTAAAGAAAAATATGGTCATAATGAATAGAAAGATGAAGACTTACCACAGAGAAATGAAAACTATAAAAAAGGATACCGGACATTCTAAAACAGACAAGAACAATGGCCAAAATGAAAAAAAAAAAAAATGGGATTAATAGAAAATTGGAAAAGGTAGAAGAAAGAAAGTGTCAATGAACTTGAAGATAGACTGCAAGAAGTTAGTTATCCAACATGAAGAACAGAATAAAAAAAAAAAATTGTGGAAAAAAAATTAACAGTCTCAGTAACCTGTAGAACAAGAATCAAGTAATATAAGTGCAATTGAAGTCCAGAAATACAGGAGGGTGATGGTTAATTTTAAGTGTCAACTTGGATAAGTTATGGTTGCAAGTTGTTTAGCCAAACACTAGTGTAGTTGCTGTTCTATAATGTAATCTGATGTAATATATCAGTTGAAAAGGGAGTTTTCCTAGAGTGTGTTCTGGCTCTAGAATATAAATAGACATCTTGGCAGAACTTTACTCTGTACTGTCCCACAACCTGACTTACAACTCTTGGATGCAAGCCTATTATGGGAATCTCCAGCCTGTAACCTGTTCTACAGATTTTAGACTTGCCAGCCCCCTACCATCTCATGAGCCAACTGTTCCTTGAAGTAAAATCAATCAATATCTCTCCGTAAATAGATGTAGATATATAGATATATAACACGTACATATACACACATATATATACATACTCAAGAAGCCCTAGTGGCATAGCCATTAAGTGCTCAGCTGCTAACTGAAAGGTTAGTGGCTCAAACCCCCTGGGTGGCTCTACTAGAGATTTTCTACCATAAAGATTAAAACCAAACCCACAGCCATCCAGTCAATTCTGACTCATAGGACAGAGTAGAACTGCCCCATGGGGCTTCCCAAGGCCATAAATCTTTACGGAAGCAGACCATCTCATCTTTCTCCTGAGGAGCTGCTGGTGGGTTTGAAC